TTTTTTTTTTTTAATGTTTATTTTTGAGAGAAATAGAGAGAGAAGGAGACAGAAGCAGGCTCTAGGCTCTGAGCTGTCAGCACAGAGCCTGACGCGGGGCTCGAACTCACGGACTGCGAGATCACGACCTGAGCATAACCTACTTACGATCACTTAACCGACTGAGCCACCCAGGTACCCCTGGGAACATTTTTACCATAGATACCTACATGACTTGCTGCGTTTCCTGGCAAGTCTTAAAATTATAACTTCCTCCTATTCCTACACCCTTTCCTTCTTTATTTTTCTTCGTATTTCTTATTATCAACAAACATCCTGTATGAATTATTTATTGTTTTTTTTTCTCTCTAGAAAATTAGCTCCATGTGGACTTTTTTTTCCCCTCCCCCCTCTTCTGACTACTGCTGTATCTCCAACATCAAGAAGATACCCGCACATGGTACTGTGTACTTAGTGCTCAGTAAATATTTGGCAAATGTGTTAATATGTGTCCCACTTTCCTGTCTCCTAACTCCTTGATGTAAATAGGATTGTCAGTGGATTGCTCTGTGACTCCAGGCTAAATCTTTTAACCTTGTTGGACCTCATTTTCCTCTTCTGTCATGTGACAGAAGTGAACCAGCTGATCTCTGACCTCCCTACTCAGCTCGTTCTGACATCCCGTAAGACTGCATTATCTTCAGGGCGCCTGGGTGGCTTAGTTGGTTAAGCAGCCAACTTCGGCTCAGGTATCTCACGGTTTGTGAGTTTGAGCCCCGCGTCGGTCTCTCTACTCACAGCTCAGAGCCTGGAGCCTGCTTCGGATTCTGTGCCTCCTTCTCTCTCTCTGCCCCTCCCCCACTCATACTCTGAATCTCTCTCTCTCTCTCTCTCAAAAATAAATAAACATTTAAAAAATTTTTAAAAAGATTGCATTATCTTCAGGAACTCAAATCCTAGTGGTGGCTTCCTCTAGGTCAGGGTTTCTCAGTAGTGGCACTGTTGACATTTGGGACCAGGCCATTCTTTGCTGTGGGGGGCTCTTTTGTAGGATGCTTAGTAGTAGCCTCTGCCCACTAGATGCCTGTCTCCCCGTTGTGACTCGAAAAATGTCTCCAGACATTGCCGGATGTTCCCCTGAGGGCAAAATTGTCCCTACCTGTGAACCACTGGTCTAGACTCTATCCTGGTTCTTTCCCTGGGCATCTAGGCCGTGGGATTAGATCTTCTAAGCTGCCCAACTTTAAAAAGATCCTCTTTCTTTCTCTAAAAACCATTTTCAGCTTAATTGCCTTTCATGGGCTTCATCTAAATTGTCTCTAGACAACTGCTTGTGTGTACCCACTATTTTCCCCAAAGATGCATTTTGTTGCTGACGTCGGTTCTGTTTGAACATTTTGACCTGACCATTTACCAGATTAGATCTTCCATACTTCCGTCTGGGGTTCTCTCACTCTCCTCAAGAAGTCAGCGTTTTTTTGAGTCCTGTGTATTTTGGGCCCATTATTTTTCAGACAAACATCAGCATTTTTAAATCATCTTTATAATTATATTTTTCTTCTACTTTCTGATCTTAGTCATAAATTTGACTGCGAGTTCCCTGACATTTGTATTCTCGTTTAAACTTCATTATCGCCCTCTGAGGTAGATATTATTATATACCGGTGTATAGATTAGGAGGGCACAATTGGTGTTTAAACGTTTGTATGAGACTCAGAGCTTTTCCTGTGAGCAGCACGGTGTGGAAACCCAGCGTGTGTGGAGCAGGACCGCTGCTCTTGCCGTGGAACTTCATTATGTTTTGGCCCCTGTGGCATCTTTGGGAAGCAGGGTTTGAAGACCATTATTGAGTATAATTCCTTCATTTTACAATGAGAAAATTGAGGTCCAAAGAGGTTAAATGACTTTGTTAAAAGTTAGGGTAAAAAAATGTTACTGATGTTTCCAGACTAGCAGCCTAGTGCTCTTTCATTTAGTCTTGATGAGACTAGGAATTTTCATTCTGTATAAATGTTAGGGAAGCTTTGTTTTGTTTTGTTTACTGGAGGATATGCTAGCCTGAATGGGTTATTTCTTTGACTAAGCCAACACGTGTTCTTGGTGGAAATGATTTCAGACAACAGAACACAAAATTATACAGGTCTGCAATAATCTAATAGTTTAGTCTGAGAAAGATGATTTAAAAAAAAAATATTTATTTTTATTTTTGGGGGGGAGAGAGAGAGAGAGAGAGAGTGAGCGAGAGTGAGGGAGGGGCAAGAGAGAGGGGGACAGAGGATCCAAAGCAGGCTCTGTGCTGACAGCAGCGAGCCTGATGTGGAGCTCGAACTGATGAACTGCAAAATCATGACCTGAGCCGGGTCGGATACTTAACAGACTGAGCCACCCCGGTGCCTCTGAGAAAGATGACTTAAAAAAAATTTTTTTTAAATGTTTTTACTTATTTTTGTGACAGAGAGAGACAGAGCATGAGCAGGGGAGGGGCAGAGAGAAAGAGAGATAGAATCCGAAGCAAGCTGCAGGCTCTGAGCGGTCAGCACAGAGCCGAATGCGGGGCCCAAACTCATGGACTGTGAGATCACAGCCTGAGCCAAAGTCAGATGCCCAACAGACTGAGCCACCCAGGTGCCCCTGAGATAGATGATTTTTTAAGGTCCTTTGATTTACCTGAAATCCTGGGCCAGTTTCAGAGCTTTGCTCTTTCCACCAAGATTAAGAATACACAGAAGAAATGGAAGAATTGCACAGGAAAGGAGATTCTTTATTTCTTATGACATGCTCTCACCCAAGATTGAGTAGTCATTAAAATACTGCTGTATTGGGGCACCTGGGTGGCTCAGTTGGTTAAGCGGCCGACTTCGGCTCAGGTCGTGATCTCACGGTCTGTGAGTTCAAGCCCTGCGTCGGGCTCTGTGCTACCAGCTCAGAGCCTGGAGCCTGTTTCGGATTCTGTGACTCCCTCTCTCTGACCCTCCCCCATTCATGCTCTGTCTCTCTCTGTCTCAAAAATAAATAAACGTTAAAAAAAAAAAATTATAAAAAAAAATACTGCTGTATTTCCTCAAATCCTTTGATTACTGTAGAGCCACAGCTTTATTATTATTTTTTTAAAAATGTTTATTTATTTATTTTGAGAGAGAGAGAGAGAGAGAGTGCCCAAACGGGAGGGGCAGAGAGAGAAGGAGAGAGATCATCCCAAGCAGGCTGTGCACTGTCAGCATAGAGCCTGATGCGGGGATTGATCCCACAAACCTTGAGATCATGACCTGAGCGGAAACCAACATTGGATGCTTAACCGACTGAGCCACCCGGGAGCCCCTGTAGAGCTACAACTCTATCATCGTGCAAGCAACCACGTTGCCCTTCTCTGATGCTTTCGTTTGAATTGTTCTGAGGACAGTGCTTTTTCTGTGTTTTATGTTTCAATCTTAGATTACTGCTGATTCTAAGATAAGTGTGCCAGACTTACCCAGTCCTCAGAAGGATGACAAGTCAGCAGTACAGAAAATGTCCACAACTCAGTACAACGAGGTGGTGAATTTAGAGCCTGAAAATACATTGGACCAACATTCCTTTTCTTTGCCCACGTGCCGCATCAGTGAGTCTGTGAAGCAGTTAATGGAACTCGCCTATCAGACTTTACTAGAGGCCACAACCAGCAGTGATCAGTGGTAAGAGTTCTGAAAATGGCAGTGACTTGGTTAAATGCGTATCTAAACTAGACGTTTATTAAGAAAATTATCTTTGGGTTTTCCTATCCCATTAGCTTTTTTTTTTTCCTGGAAAAACAGTGTAACACAGAGACCTATATCGATAATTAACTTTTATTTGTAATGACGCATGCTTCTTACAGCATATCTAGGAAATGGAAGCATGTGCATGGATGGACGAATGGAGTTTCTTTGACATTAAAGTTGTTAATCACTTTTTTACAAAAAACTCTTTAACTTCTGTTTAATTTGTTACTTTTTATTTGAGTTGAATGATGTTACGTGAGGAAGCACTTGCAGGGAACTTCGAATACTATCTGAAAAATCATCAATACTCAAACGTCTGTTATTACCGACGGTGGTGGTAGCAGTGGTAGTTATGCCTTCTGCTCCAGCCTGCCCTGGCCTTTTAGCTGAACATTCGTTTTGCCTTTTGTGAAATCCAGGCCCTAATTATAATTAATTTACACTTTAAATGTTTGTTTTTAGCGCAGTAGTAGTTTGTTGGAAGGCCAAGGTAGAAGGAAAAGCATGGAATGTTCGAAGATCTCATTTTACCCTTTGTAGGTGATTTCCCTTAACATACACCATATTCGGGGTGCCTCACCCTCGAGTCCGCATCTCATACCGAACTCTTTCTGCTCCGCGAGCTCCTCTCTTACTAAATGGAGGGGGACGCGGCATGCTGGAGCCCGAGCTGCGGAGCAGACTGGCAGAAGCCTCCTAGTGTGTCTGTGGGTAGCGGCGCCTTATCTCCTCCTCACGGGAGAGAACAGTCCTGGTTAGGGCCTGCCTCAGCCACACCGTATCTCAGGTGGGCTTCCAGAGTTTTCCTTCTTATCTCCACGTGCAAATAGACCCTTTGATTTTATTCTGCTCTAGAAAGAACATGTTGACTAAGATATTTCCATGACTTCAATGAATTGTGATGTTCACAGGTCCATCCAGTTCTAAATATAAGTAGGAAGAAAAATACAAACGAAAAGTACATACTCTTTTGGCAAAATAAATTTTGGAGTAACTATTTTGTCACATGGCTGTCACATGAATGAAATATACTAACCAGAAGTTAGAGCTGCAAGGCAGTGTTTCCTAAGTTTTTTGATAATACAGAACACTGTAAACAATGAGTGTCTGTGTACACACTGCTTCCTCTAAAAGAAATGGTTTTAAACAGGACATACAGAAACACAACTCCATTACAACTCACTTCCCCATTACCAAACCTTGAATAGCAACACGTGGGGCAAAAATGAAATGACATAACTTCATCAGGTCATTGTAGTAATCGAGTAGTAACCGTGTTTTGGGGTGTAGGAACCATGACTTGTTTTTCTAAATATTTGTGGAATTCCTTTGTATTCAAGGTACATAGTTTAAGGTATTCTTATGTGGAAGTAAGCCGTACAGACTTTATATTTGCTCAAGTGCATTTTAATAATAATCTTTAGGTATTCTAAGGCCAGATTCAAAGGGCAAAAAAAATTTGAGGTTGGATTCTGTCCTAGAAATGTTGATTCATCTCCTTGCATTGGAGTAAGAAGGAGAAAAGGTGAAAGCTGACAGTCAGACTGATTCTAAGAGAACAAGTGAATGCCTTTATGGACACCTTGCCCTTTGCAGAGTGCGTCCGTGAGTAGGTGACATTTGCTTAAGGCTTAGCTCCATTTGTTACTGAAGGGATGGTCTGGGTACCGGCAGATTGATAATGGGAAAGAGGCTTTGGGTTAATGCTGTTCTTCTTGAAATTATTAGCAGATCAAGGTTTTTACAACTGCAGTCTAGTTAGTAAACACTGGTTGAGAATATATTTGCATCTAGATTAATGGTGTGTTCAGCAGTGACCAAGGCAGGTGTTTAGGTGATGACTAATGTGCACTTGACCTGAATTTTCTTTTCTCATTGCCACTATCCTTATGCATTTCTATTGAAACTGTTTTTTATTAGTGCTGTTCAGCTTTTCTACTCAGTGAGGAATATCTTCCATTTGTTCCATGATGTCGTGCCAACATATCACAAGTAAGTGCCCCCGTAAGTTGGACTAAAACCAGTCATTTTATATTTCCACCAAAAATATTTTGGTTACTAAAATTCACAATTAAATGCAGTAAGCCATTAAAAAAAAAAACAAACATGTTTAAAGAATATTGGTCATTTGTTAATAAAAGTCTAAACATCTATATATTTAAAAATTTCCCAGGTGACTCTAAACTGTAGCCAATTTGAAAACTAGAGCATTAGAAAAGAGTTTAGTGCTTCATTACATAGATGAAAAAGGAATTTGGAGGAAGGGCAGGTGAGTCCTTCAAGGGAATTATTATATACAGCTGTGCTAGGTTTACATACAGAGTCGACACAGGTCAACACTGGGTTCCCTGGCTCGCTCTTTTTTGTTACTCCCTGGGATAGTCTTACTGGATCAGGCTGCACTCAGGCGGGACGCTGTCACTCTGAACAGGGTCAGGGTGATGAGGCCGCATCTTGTTATGCATTTGTACAGGAGACAGTTATTAAAGCCTAGAAGTACCTTAAAAGAGAAGTAACATTTCCTCCACCTCAATCCCAGTAACTTGTGATTTCTTTCTTTTTCTACCCCTCCTCCTGGCATAGGGAGAACCTTCAAAAACTGCCCCAGTTGGCCGCCATTCACCACAACAACTGTATGTACATTGCTCACCACCTGCTGACCCTCGGACATCAGTTCAGACTGCGTCTCGCCCCCATTCTTTGTGATGGCACTACCACTTTCGTGGATCTGGTCCCTGGCTTCAGGAGGCTTGGTAACGGAATCCTTAACTTCAGGAAATCGTATTGATTATGCAGTCCCTCAGCCTAGTATCTTTGTAATTAATGAACAAGGCAGCTAGAAATTAGGTGGTGGTCCTAGCTGTATTGGAAAGTGGGAGAGCATTTCGTTAGCAGTTGTTCCCCGTCACTTAATTTGCTAAAGTGAATGCAGTCTTTGTGTAAGTGTGTTACTTTTCCATGACACGACTTCATGGTACATCAGAGTTCCAAACTGCATTGCTGGTGTGCGGTGAATTTGCCAAATCAGAGTCATGTCAGTAGAGTGACACATAATAAGATTTGTATTGTGATAATTCTGTTAGCATTGTCGGTAAGAGCTTACTAGCGTAAGTGCCTGTTCTTTTGCAAAACCTCAAGATAGCTCCCTGCTCTTCCACCTAGCTTTACTTGGGGTTATGAAAAATGAAAAGAAATGAAATGTGGAAGAAGTCAATATGTTTACCATAATGATAGCCTAAGAAAAGCAGAGGACCCATATGATTCACTTAGTTTTTTACTTCCTGACTTTCCCCTTAGGTGGTGTTGATGTAGTCAAAAAATAAGTAGCTGCTGCTCTTGAGTAAGTGACGTTTCTTATCTGACCCTGGACAGACTATGGGGAAAGACATTATCCTGAGATTGGGTTTGCCGGGACTGGCTGATGTATTAGAAGCTATCATTTCTGGTGACCTCACAGCAGCTTTATGATGTTATCTTGCAAGCAGTTGTTTTCAAATGAGCAGGCTGATGCGTGATTCATGCTTGTCTCTCTCCTTCCACCCTGGCTTTGTACTGTGTAACCTGACAACAGTGGCAATTCTCTATTCTGTTTTTCCACCCCAGGGACAGAGTGTTTCTTGGCCCAGATGCGGGCACAGAAAGGAGAACTTCTGGAAAGATTATCTAGTGCTAGAAACTTTTCCAACATGGATGACGAAGAGAATTATTCTGCAGCAAGTAAAGCAGTCCGGCAGGTGGGCAGCTGCTCCTGGCGCTGCGATTTGTACTCCTTTTGTACATGAGCCCCCCATCCCTGCTCCCCCACAACCAAAGAACGTGTAGCAGTTAGCTCTATTAATCCCCACGCCCCCCCAGTGGAAAATATGGATACCTTCAACAGGAATGTTTACAGACTTGCCCTTTCCTTGCTCCACCAAGCCAGCAGCAGGCTATCTTTCCATCCACCCAGTAAGGTGACTAGTTATTGATAAGTCTGTCATGGCAAGGTTTTGACCCATGAACTTGAGTTTGGGAAATTTGAAATACTAGCTTTTACCTCAGTGCCCCTCTCTCCTACATGATTTATCCTTTTTTTTAAATGAGCAAATGGTTTTTATGTATTTATTTTATTTATTGAAGTAAAAATGAACATGCAGTGTTATATCAGTTTCAGGTGTACAATATATTATAATTCCACAATTTTGTACATTTCTCCGTGCTCCTGGTTTAGCTTCTCACAGTGGTTTTCCCATCCTCAGCTTAAGTTCTGCTTTTCATCGAGCAGGGATATCCACTAGGGTTTAATAGTCAAGAAGCTGATATTTGTGATCACTTTACCTCCCCTTCTCATAATGCCTCTTCTCCCAAACACACACAAATGATGCACTTGAATGTAGAAAATAGGAGTTGCGACAGTCTCTCTTTCGTGTCAACAGCTGTATCCTCCTGACAGGTTCTACACCAGCTGAAGAGACTTGGAATTGTGTGGCAGGATGTCCTGCCAGTGAATATATATTGTAAGGCTATGGGGACTTTACTCAATACAGCAGTTTCTGAGATCATTGGCAGAATCACTGCTCTCGAGGTAAGGACCATTAGATGCCTCACCAGGCCTGGGATGGCAATTCCTGTCTCCGATTATTGCTCTTCTAAGCAAATGATGTTGGTATCTCATTTTCAGTCAACATAGATGGTAGAAGAAATTGTTCATGTTTCCTGTCTAACTCATTGTAGGGTTATTTTTTTTTTTTAGTTTTGCCTTCATTCTGTTTTGCCGGTGACTAGCTAATGTCTCTCCTTTACGCGTACCTAAGAGTAGGACGATCCTGCTTCTCCATGTAGCATCTGTGTAGATTATGAACGAAGAGGCCGGAAACTGGGTAGCCCTTAGATGTATTGTAAAGTATGAAGTTATGTATTTTATTTAATTTGCAAGTGAGCTCAGTAACTTAGTAAAGAGAAACGCAGCCTTCCGCAGGAGCCCCTTTTCCAGCGCACTGTGGTAGTAGAGATTATATACGTGAGTTTACAGGCAAGGGGCCCAGGCTCTGCCAGCTGATGTCTCCAAAGCATTGATTGACTGAATCCTTGTTTATAAAAATTTCCCCTGCTTTTCAGCAAGCGGTACGACATTCTTCTGGATAAATGGGCTCTTTCATGCAGGCACACTAAATTATTGACAATGTGTTGAAACATACTTTGTGTCATTCTAGCTTCAGGAGTATTGTCAGAGCTGATGAAATCTCATGTCTAATAAGGTGTGCTAAATTGCTTGGGAAACAACTTGCTGCAGCTGACCGCTTAAACAGCATGCACTAAAGATTTGCCCTTTCCTTACCACTAAGGTGGCCCAATTCTATTTTGTGTTCCCTCTGTGCAAAACCAGGACATCTCTACTGAAGATGGTGATAGATTGTATTCCTTATGCAAAACGGTGGTGGACGAGGGACCCCAAGTGTTTGCACCTCTCTCTGAAGAAAGCAAGAACAAGAAATACCAAGAAGAGGTTCCAGTCTATGTGCCCAAATGGATGCCATTCAAGGAATTGATGATGATGTTACAAGCCAGCCTGCAAGAAATTGGGGATCGGTAGGTATGACCCTTTTACAGAGGAATGTGTCTCTCTAAAGATAGCTACAGAGTGCGAGTGCCACTGAGAGCAGTGCTTTTCTCTGTTTCTTAACCAGTTGCTCAGGAAAGAGTTTCATGTTGAGTAACAGTAGTTGGAGCCTTGCCATGATCTCTAATCGTGTGGGTCCCCATTACCACTTTCTCCTGTTTGATAACATAAAGACTTCTTGTTTCATACTATTTTAGTCTTCAGCATGTTGTTTGGCATGCTGTGCAGATGGTCTTTCATTTGTAAGAAGTACAACCTTCTGATACCTGGATGGGAAGTGTTGCCTGTTTTAACCCACGGTGGATACATTTTACGACTGGCTTTGATTCGCTAACAGAAATTGACTTTTATTTGTATGGAATATTCCACATCAACCACTGTTTGATGGACCAGCAGTTTTTCTGCAGGGAGTACAGTGGTTTTAGAGATTAAGCATCATACACATAGAGAGGATTCCTCTTGTCTTAAATGTAGCAGATGATGTTTTTCCCACCCCCTGACACCGAACACCATTAGTTAACATTGCTGTGTGGGGTAACTGTATGCTTTATTGTATCATACTTAGTATGCAGAGGTCATTGATGCTGCACAAAAAAGGATAGACACAGGTTAGTTACACATTCATGGATGCTTTTATTATTGTCTTGGTAGATATTAATAATCAGAGTATGCATACCTTGCATAGGGAATCCCTGAATAGGCCTCAAGGTCTCTCCCCATCCTTATAGCTACTTGTCTGCCTATTTTAGCCTGGTTCTTTAGTGAATTACAGGTGCCCCGTTGTATTAGACCAGTCACCCCAGATGTGTCTGAGTTTTTCTCAGCATATATTGTTCATTCTAAAACAAAGAAAATGACATTTCTGCCTGAAAAAAGTCACATCAAAATACTTCCAACCTCATTATTACGAGATTTAATGTATTTGTTATTTATAAGTCCTTAGTGGATAATAAGATGTCTTTAGGTAAGACTCCAGAGGACAGCAGATAAGAAAGTTTCTTTCTGCTGCTGCAGCCTAATAATAATTCTTTGTGTTGAGAACAGTCACAATACTGGTGTATCTTCTTTTTTTTCTGCCTAGGAAGAATTTTTCTCCTAGAGGTTTCAGTAAACATGAGGATAGTAGTTAATTGGGAACATTTTTTACTGAAGAATCTACCTCCGATGGTATAGTTTAAATGCTTTAAAATCATAAAACAAACATACAAAGGAATACAACATGTAATGTATTTACACTTAAAAGGAAACAAGTAAAATTTTCATGTACCTGTTACCTAATATAAGAAAAATATTACCGATCCTGCGAAGACTCCTGTGTTTCCCCTCTCCAAATGTTTGTCCCCGCAGGCAGCCACTGTCTCGAGTTTTGTGTTCCTTCCTTATTTCCTTTGCTTTCCTTCATAGTTTTGCCACTTTTGCATGTGTCTCTGAACAGTATAAAGTTTAGGCCTGCTCGTGTTTGAACTTTCTGTAAACGGAAGCGTCTGTAAGTTGCTTCTTTCGGTCAATATTGGGTTTTTTTGAAGTTGACTCATGACTGTGTAAAGGGCTGTGTGCATGTTTGTCTTCAGAGCTGTAGCGTGTTCTGTTTTACAGATATTTCATTATTGAGTCCTGCCGCTTCATGGTTTCACCAGTATTTGGTATCGTCAGACTTCAGAATTTTTGCTCCTGTAGTTAGTGTGAAATGGTAGTTCGTTGTCACTGTAACTTACATTTCCCTGAATTCTAATGATGTTGAGCATCTTTTTATGGATCATTTGTTTTTCTTTTGTTGTAGCAAATGACCTGTTCACATTTTGCCCTTTATTCTACGAGGTTGTTTGTGATTTCATTATTGACTCATGGGAGTTCACTGTGTATTTTTTACGCCAATCCTTTGTTGGTTAAAATTTGTTGCCTGTGGCTCATTTTTTAAAATAGTCACAGATCCCCAGACTCCATGTAACCATGTAAGGATGTGGCCATAATTCTCAAGTTCAAACAGGACTTAGTATAGAATAATGGGGAAGAGTCTTACCTTCCTAACTTGGTCTCTTCATCTGACTGTGCTGATAGCAAAATGCAGCCAAGAAGCAGGAGTTAAAGAGATTGAGTGGAGGATCCAGAAAGAAGGGGAAGGATGCCAGCATTTGTTTTACTTCCATTTAAAAATTTTTTTTTTTTCAACGTTTATTTATTTTTGGGACAGAGAGAGACAGAGCATGAACGGGGGAGGAGCAGAGAGAGAGGGAGACACAGAATCGGAAACAGGCTCCAGGCTCTGAGCCATCAGCCCAGAGCCTGATGCGGGGCTCGAACTCACGGACCGCGAGATCGTGACCTGGCTGAAGTCGGACGCTTAACCGACTGCGCCACCCAGGCGCCCCTGTTTTACTTCCATTTAAAACCAACTAGCATTTGGGATCCAGTAAGCAGTTTTAAAATCTTGCTTATCCAGAGACATAACAGGAAATAGAATTTTATCTTTTATTTTGCAGGTGGGCAGATGGAAAGGGGCCCCTGGCAGCTGCATTCTCTTCCACTGAAGTAAAAGCTTTAATCCGTGCCTTGTTCCAGAACACAGAAAGAAGAGCAGCTGCCCTTGCTAAGATTAAATAGCTGTATCTTCCCAAGAAAGCCATGTTTTGACTACTTGGATTCCTCTCTTGGCATAATGACTCCTTTAAAGACTTCTTGGAATCATCTGTTAGTTTTGGTGAACCAAGTATATCGTGGAAGTCTGATTTCACCTAAGAACGCCTTACCTCCTGGCTTGTATGAGGCTTTGTTGAAGAACTGGATGTTAAGATAAGCTGTCAAGTGAAGCACCTCAACTTGTTGGCTTCCTAGCCATCCTCCTTTGATAAGACGCTGTAGGGTAGCACTAATCCATGTTGCTTCTGGGCCTTCTGGGGACTGTGTCTGTTGTGAATGTAAGGCCTGGTCTTGGGTCAGGGAATCCAGGGGATTCCATGAGTCAGGGTAAAGAACTCGTGAGCAAATGGTACGTATGTTTTGGGAGACGGGAACTGTGTTTGTCCTCGGAGGAATTAAGGAGACTTCCTTTAATAGTTCTTTCCAATAAATAATGCTTTTCAGAGTTCAGGATGAGTGTCTTTAATAACATGGTGAGCTTTGACAAAAGACACCAACAAGTTTTCTTGTCTTCCACACCATTCTTTTTATTGACAATTATGATCCTCACAGAGGACTCCCTGATGTATCATCTTCTTGCTTCTTTCTTGGAAGGCCTAGAAATCCTAGGACTTCCTTTCAGTATAAGTTTTTGACCCTTTCTGCTATTTCAACTAAATTCTATTTTCTTAGTTGGATTTTTTTTTCCCCCACCTTCTTAAGCTCCACTGTTTCTGTACCCTACCAAATGACAGAAGTTTTCAATTGATAATGTTCCTTTGGCATGTATATATGCCCTGAGATCTAACTCTGGGCTCTGGAGCCCAGCCCTTTATTTGCTGGACATAGGTAATTCTTCAGTTCGGCTTCATCTGTTTCTAACTCTTTTCAGCCATCGGACGGAGGTATCCTATCAAAGTTATCCTCGGCCTCTGCAGTCCTTGATATTCTTCATACTGAAATACTGTTTCCTCTCATGAAAAGAGGGCGAAGGGTGTGATTTTTAGGTGCTGCTGAAGCAGATGCTGCCTGGAAGAAGTTTTCAGTCCATTGGGCATGGTTCCTGAGGCCTTAAGCCCTTGATTCCTGGCACACAAGAACAATTATTTTTTCCTCCTGTCTTCAAGTGTTCTGCCTTCACCCCCTCTCTTCTGGTGCAGTTCCTCGTCATTCTGGTTGCATAGTGTTTCTTTTACCTACTAGAAGAGTCACAGGATAATGAATAAGAAAGAAGCCTGTTTCTGTTCTTAATAAGAGAAATCGGCTGGTTAGTGATAAGCTGTTTGTCTATGCTGAGCAGGTCCTACTATGAGAGCTCACAGAAAAAAGAATGGCCTGAACCCATGTTAGTTTTTTGAGAACAAAGGAGTTGTCTCTCCTGAGAGAGGAGGGAGCCATTTTCACAGGTGAAAAAAATACCTGCTTTGGAAACTTTGTACAATTTCAGGGAGCAGTCTTTTTTTCTCCACAGTCGAGAGAATGGGGAACTAAGGACAGAACTGAAATAAATGCATCCCAGGACTATTACACAGAATAGCAGATTTCTTTTGTTCGTAGAAGCTATTACGGTCGCTTGACAGGTACTGCAATTTGGGGGTGGGATCTCTTGTAACTGAAAAGCACTTCTCACTCTTTCCCTCTCCTCAATAACACAGAAAATTGCATTATAGTTCTCCTGAGGCTGTGTAGACGGTGTCAGGACTGTGTCCCCTCATGAATAGTTTGAAGACCGTGGCACACAGAGCAGGCACAGTCCATCTTCCTCCCTGGCCAGGGCTGGGGTTGGTGGATGATGAAGTGCATGTCCATTTTGGTGAGAGCTGAGCCATTTGATCAGGCACGTGGGAGCTGGGGTTGTCTGGCAGCTCTTGCAGGGACCTTGAAGGTACCTGTTCTGATTGGGAACCTGAGCTGGAAGTGAGTAGAACCTTCTTTTGGAGAGAGCACGCAGGTGATGGGAGGAAGGGAACTTGAGGACTCGTTTAATGGGCTCCATGGGCCACCCAGAAGGAACCTCTTCCCACATAACAATCAGAACTATACAAATGACTCCTAAGAATGAAACTCATAAAAGGGTCCCCAGGCTTTTAGGAAAAAGGAAAGTTTTTGTTAAAAAGGCAAGACTGCAGACAGCTTGAATCCACTTGATAGTGGCTTCTGTCCCCACATGGATCCTGAATTGTTGGGGACTTGTTCCATGTCAGTTTTGCACAAGGGTTTCTCTTTAAAAGGGAGATCCTCCAGATGGCACTCTCACCTCATGCCTGCGAGCATCACAAGGCAGCTAGGTCTGGTCTGTGGAAATTTTGCCCTGCCCCTGTATCCTGACCTGGGTTAGCCCACGAAGGTCATCCAGACTGTGAACAGCATCTGTCCTGCAAGCTGCAAAATGTCGCCAAGCGATCACTTGTGAATAGATCAAACGGTATTTTCTTTGATCAATACCATCGTTAAGGAAGATGTGGATAATTGACTTCCTGTGCTGGTGGATACTTAACGCTGTCACTTAAGGCCATGATTCCCAGCCTTTTTTGGGGTTTCATTCTGTTGCTTATTTGATTTCCCAAGATTTTGTCCAGCTGAAAGTTATGACGTGTACACACACACACACACACACACACACACCATAGTTTTGTCATAAGAAAACCAGCCCAAAGATGTTTGCCCCAGCTCCACAGCTACTTTGTGCCATGGATGTGTGAAGCTGTGTATAGGAGTAACTGCCTTGTAAGGGGAGATAGTTCTACATGCAGGAAGTGGATAAAGCTATTGGAGATTATCAAAGCACTCTTCCTTTAAAATTGGGTTTTGGTGCCCACATTCTTCCTAATCATAGACTTGATTTTTGAACATTTGTTTTGTGATGACTCCCTCCTAAAAATACTCATCATGCTAATAGCCTAAAATCTCCTGAAAGCTACAAAGCCCCAATTTTGAGTTGTTCAATGATCATATGGTTTAGACCGAATTCCTCACGTTGTCATGAGAAGTTTGGTTAAGGATTTTGCGATGGCACGTGATACAACCCGGGAATAGCCTTAGAAACCAAGTTATGAAACATCTGCCTGGAGGTTGGGAGGAGGGCAATAAACCTGATGAGCTATGTATGAGTTCTTCACTCCTCCTCAGAAATCAGGTGCCCTAGATTTCTTGTTTGGTTGGGAAGAGCACCATGGGGGACTGGTACCAAGACCAGAGAGAGACACCTGCCCCCTCCCTGGTCTCAGCCCTCTGTGCAGTTCTAAAACTCCCCGCGTTTATTCCACTTACATTTATTGGGTGTCGAGCATCGCCCTAGTCACTGAACAACCTCCCCCCACCAAACGAAAATGCCCTGTCCCTCTGGCGATTTAAATTCTAGTGACAAAGACGGGTAAGAAACAAAGTAAATTAGGCAATATGTCTGAAGATTTTAAGTGCTGTGTAAAGAATACACGTAGAGTGAAAAATGTGAACTCCACTGGAGATCCAGAGAAGGGGGAAAAGGGGAGTGAGCTGCCATTCCAAATAGAGTGGTCAGAGTACGTCTCCTTGAGACGGTAAGTAAGCTGTGTGGTACAAGATGCAGGTAGTTCTAAGCAGAGAGAGCAGCCCTTGCAGAGCCCTAAGGTGGGAGAAGCGTGCCTGGTGAACTCAAGGAATAGCAGAGAGGGGGGAGAGAGTAGGAGGCGGGGAGGTTAGCAAAGTAACAGGAGAAGGTAAGATTGTGTTGGCCATTATTATAAGGATTTGGGTGGTTCCCCTCCCCCTTTTTAACTTAGTAAATGGAAAAGTTTTAGTAGCTTCCAAAAAAAAAAAAAAAAGATGGGGGGGGGAACATATAAAAGTATAGAAAATATTACACCCCTAGGTACCCATCACCCATCTTCAACAATTATGATCACCCAGGCAACGCAACAGCTCTGATCATCTGTACCCCTCCGTCCTCCCTGCTCCCACAAACACACTGAATGTGGAAGCAAATGCCAGGCAGCCTCTCATTTCAAACCCAGGGCTCATTTCTATGTAAAGTCCGACTCTTGTTTCCTTTGTAGCTTTTTCTTGTTTGCATCCTTTGCCTCTCCTCATTCCCCCTCTCCTCTGCCGGCAGGCGGATCCCCCACCTGCCTGCCACCCTCCCTGCTTCCCCAACCATACTTCTCCACTCAGGCTCCTCCTGTTCCCTGAACACTGGCTGTGAGGTAAACACCTAACTGCGCCTGACGGCTGACTCATGCCATCACTTCCCTTTTGAGCCTCCTCTCTGCCCTGGCCGCTTGCTCCAGCTAACCCAATCCTGTAGTTTCTGGGTTCTAAGGGTGCCCAGCAAAGACCTTCCACTTGTTGATTGTTTCATCAGGGAGGATATCCTCTGATGAACCAGATTTTAGAACCCTCTTAGAACCAGATTTTCCTGGGTTTTTTCCACAGAGGTTGTCTTCACAGACATGGTGACGCGGCTCCAGCTATTGGGTCCAAGGTCGGGGTATTGACTGGAGTCTGCAACTGGTTTGGTTTAAGGCAGGGCAACCCTCTTCCCTAAGGTCTGCCTGGTGGAGTGTGGGGTGTAGAGTGGCCACTGCCAGGTTTCTGTCTCCCATTCCCATTCTCTGACTTTAAAAGAATAGTAACTGTTTTCGTTTGCACGAAGGGCTCCATTTATGCTTGATTAACATGGAAGATGATAAAAATGATGCATGACATTAAGTATGTCAGATTAACTTTGTTATAAATTTAATTTCATTTCAGCACCAAGCTGTGTTCCTAAATGTAAAGCCTAAATAGTTTGCCACATCTGTATCTGCATTATTATTACTTAAAATGAAAAAATTAGGACTTCTTGCTCACCAACTATCTATTTAGTAAGGTGTCCTGGGATCTTCTGTAAAATTAACTTCGATGGCATTGGTCCAAAGTAGCAGTAGATCTTTTGCCTCCTTTTTCAAAGTTGGGGCCCTTGCTGTTGCTCACAAATAATAGCATGGGTTTGGGATTACATGTGCACT